ATTGGGAACGCTGGGACAAGGGTTCTCCAAGTCCCAAAGCAAGAGCCGGCCACAACTTCGGGAGCGGTGGCGCCTTCCTGGGAGAGGGTCCCAAGCCTGGCAGAGGTGGGACAGGCAGAAAAGGAGGGGCTCCGTCGTCAGGCGGCTCCGAGGTCAAATCTCAGCTCTGGCCATCTCCCTGCAGAGCACTCTGCCTAAGAGTGCCCACCCAGTTCCTACCTGGTCACATAGCTTGTGCTCCCCCTACCTGGAGCTGCAGCTGGGAGCCTCACTGTGTCGCTTTCAATCCACCCACAGAGAAGAGCAAACTTGTCAGAGTCTGTCCAGGAGCCACCTGCTTCCCCCGTGACTGTACCACACACAGCTACCAGCCGGGCAGGGATGGAGCACTGCATTCAGGGAGCACTTCTGGGTACATTCACCCTTCATAACTCTGCAAGCGCTGCTCCTTATCATCGCCACATAACAGATGAGGAGATAGGACCAGAGAACTCGAGCAACTTGCCTGTAGTCTGCTAAGGAACATTTTCTACCACACAAGAGGTAGAAAACACATTCGAGCTATTGTCCCATCCATACCAAAGTCTTCACACCTTCTGAGAATAGTAATAATGGCAGGTGAGTGTTAGTCACTCCTTCCTTCCCCTCTCTCTGCCAAATGTATACCTGACAGCTCATCATTCATTCATGTATTCATTCAACTAATATTTATTGACCTCTACTATGCAAGGCACAGGAATGTGCAAGGCACAGGAATGTGTTGACAAATAAAACAGATATGTGTCTCCTCTCAGGGAGGTAAAAAATGTTGACACTCCCCGCCCCCCACTGGAAACAGGAGGCAGCTGAGGCTCAGAAGGTAACACGACTTGTCCAAGGTCAAACAGCTTGTCAGGTTGGAGCTGAGATTCAAACCAGGGTCGCAGGCCTCCGAACTACTACTTGGCTACCTCACACAAAGAGAAGTTAGAAGTAAGAATGGAGGAAGGAGCCAATTCGGCCATGTGGTGAAGGGGCGAGCACTGCTCCCTTTAGAAGTCCCCAAGAAGGAGGTTATAGAATCAGACCCAAGATGACAGCCATTTTCATGTACTGTAGCCTCAAGTCATGCACCAAATAATATAACACTTTCAGAAACTTGTTCATCCCAAGTCATCTCAAAGTATTTTCTTATTATCACAGTAATACATACTCACCATGGGTATTTTAGGAAACTGAGAATGAGGGAGAAGCCTAATCCATAATCCCACTAACTTCAGGCCCCTGCTGGTAACATTTGGAAGTGTCTCCTTCCAGTCTTTCCTGTGCACAGATTGTGTGTGTGTTTGTTTTACACTTTTGAGATTGTATTGACTCTAGTCTTTAATCCCTCTTTTTTTCTCTTGGATAAAAACCATAAATGATCTTAAATGGGTTATCAAAATGACAGCTGCCACTTATGGAGACCTGACTCTGTGGCAGGCACTGAGTGAAGGATTTTCTACACCGTATCTCCCTTATTCCTCAAAAGAACATCTGCTCCATTTTAGAAATGAAGGAGCAGAGAGTCGAAGATCACCTAGTTGTCCGCAAGGTTGGCATCTACGTTGGCACCAGAACCCATGCTCTTACTCACTGGGCTGTGAGGTCCCCTCTGTGGAATAACTCATGCTCAGCCATGCCTGGAAAGCCACACAGCCCTGTAGCAAAAGTTCACCTACAGCCTGTTCCCCGTATCCTAGCTGGAGCTCAGGCCAGGTTCCTCGGAAGGGAGAAAAGCATCCCTCTGCAGCGTAGACAAGAGGGCACCTGCCCAGGTGCCTGTGGACATCAGCAACTATGCTGCTCTACAGCCAGAGGGGGAGCCACAGCCTCCATCCCTGCTTCTGCCAGACAGAGT